GCCAGCGCCTCCTCTGCCCCGATCCGCTCTGCCTGCGGCGGGGAGCCCACGCCGATCCTCGGCACGCTGCCCGCAGCCACGGGGGGAGAAGTGACAGGGATGGCATCCACCAGCCCCGGGATGCCCTGCACCAGCGAGAGTGGGGAAGCGGGAGAGCGCGTGAGAGTAGAGCTGCCAGCCCGAAAGCCGCAGGACGGACCCCGGCCCTTGGCAGGAGAGGTACAGAGCACAGGCACACTGCCGATTCTGGGACTGACGGGCTTGGAGGGGCCTTGGACGAGGACAGATCTCCAAGATAACTTTCCTAACCTGGCATAAAATGGGCCAGTAAAAAAAAGCACCTGCAGCCTCATCCCAAGAGTTAACTGTTCCAGCTGTTCGACACTGCACTTTGCTCTGTGCTTGAATTTGCCCACCTTCACCTTCCGGACTGCAGCCCGGCGTGTACTCAGCTGAAGTGTCTGCTGGCAAGATATGGCCAACACTTCCTCTCCCTGGACTTCTCAGCGCCCTTCTCAAAATGCAGGCATGAGGGTCTGACAGGGAGCCCCTAAGGACCGCAGCCCTGGGGCTATGGAGGGAATGTGCTCTCATCTTCCCCAAAATCTTTGTCTCTAGACAGTCCCTAGACCCACGTCAGTGAAAGTCACAGCTAAAGACCACAGGAACTGCCTAGCTGGGGCATGGGCATGCTGCAAAGGATGAGTGCTGCTCCAAACTGCACACAGAGCTCAGGCACCTCGAGGTGCCAATCTGCCCTGATGTACCTGCGGGTCAGCTCTGAGCTAGCTACATCCCTACATGAACGGCAACAACTGCGCTGCCGTCCGGCCATGACAACAGGAGCAAGCAACGAATGCAGTCAGCCCCAGGACTGCAACACTGGCGAGGTTCAGCCCAGCCTTGCGAAAACGCCCCTAGGCAAAGACTGCCAAGTTGGGAGGGCTGTGCGTAAACAGCAGACAGTTTCCTGAAAGCCATGGCACAGCAGGGTCAACCAGCCCACACCGTGAGCTGCTCTCTCCATGGGGAACACGGCGTCCCTTACAAATCCCCCTGTGACCCCAAGCCACAGTTCCAAACCATGACGACCCGGCTTGATGGCCCGGCTTGCTCTCATGTCCTCAAATGCCATTGCCTCGGCGGCCAGACACTGTTTAGATTGAGATCTGCACTCCTTATGTTCACACGGCACGTTTCCAGGCTCTAATGCACAGCTGGGAAAAGGAAGGCTTAGCAATTCTCTCCGTACACCTAGGAGTGGGATGAAATCCAGGTTTGGCAACTGAAATAGGAACATGCCCACAGGCTACTGGATAATCTGGCGATGAACCACCTCCCTGCAAGGGTCTAACTGAGCCGTCCGCTTACAACATCACTGGCAAAGGATAGCTTTACCTAGAGGAAGCCTGTGGGGAGACTCACTGCCTGCCGTGAGCAGGCAGGCCCGAAGGGGTGTCTCTGGTAGCTCCACATCTGGAGGGGTCGAGGACTCCAGTGTGCAGGCACAGCTGGATGCACCAACCAACGTCTCGTAGCTAAAGGCAATGCCCTCCGGCACCAACTCACCCTGTCTTTTCCCAAGGGATGGCGTCCATCCTCTGCTCCACTGCCAAAATCGCCAGATACCTACGTTTGTCCAGGAAGAAACAGAGAGGATCAGCTCATCGCACATCCAGCCAGCGCCATGGAGTTGGGGTCAGCCAGTGGGATGTCAGGTCCTCTCCTCTCACAGAGAAATCCCAGCTCCCAGCAACGTTTGGAAGGTGGATTATATCATCGCTCAACATTGAGGAATGAGGAATTTGCCTCCGATGACCCGGAGCACGCGCAGATCAAGGCTGGCAACCACCCAGTGCTCACCTCTTCAGTGTCATCCTCCTCTTCCTCACACTGGTGCTCGGCTGCCCGGGGATCCCCTTTCAGCTTCAGGTCAGCGATCACCCCCTGGAACAAAAGATACCGAGGAGTGTCACCGACGCAGCCCCTCGACAGAGACGTGCCACAAACTCCGCTGTCTGCTGCCACTCCACAGCATGACCTGTGCCATGCCCCGCAAAGCCAACAGTGCCCTCCTCACTCTATTGCCACATCCCTGCAAGCGGCACATAAGAAAATGGACTTTGATTAAGAATCCAGCTCTGCCACGTGCCTTTCATTGCATAACCACTTGACAATTCAAGGGTTTGTTCACCTGACTTGGACCTGACCTGACTTGGAAAATGCTTTCCCTCCAAGCAAGGGCCCATCTCATGCTCAGCCCTTGCCATCCAGCTCCCCAGGACTGGCCACAGAACTGGTGGCAGAGCTCAGCTCTCCAGCTTGGAGTGCAATCCATGAGAAAAATTCCTCTGCCTACTCTGAAACTGGGCAGGCCAAGTGGAGGTCACAGCCAGGATCAAGGCAGCCAGACAGCGACATTTTTACAGGCAATTTATGGACACGGTCCTCATTTCCCCCTCTCCAGGGCAAGGGGAAAAGCACTTCCTCTCTGCCTCACTGCTCCAAAGAAAGGGCTGTTGGCCAGCCCCGTGGTCCAGTGTGGCCCTAGTTTTGTATTTCTTAGGCTAATCCACACTTCCTTACCATTTATTTGAGTTTTGCAAGTGCTGAATATGGTCAAAGCATTTATTTATACAACGGACCTCTGCAAATTCTTGCGTAAAAAAGCTGCTTCCAGAAAATCACACTGCCCCATAGCTGAGCTACCGAAGCCGATGAGGAGAGGAGCATCCCCTCTCGGCATGTCGCAGATGCAGATGGTTCCCAACAACAGCCAAAACTGGCACCGGCAAAACAGCAGTCACACCGGTTCTGCCCTTCCTAAGGGCATTGGGTCCAGCAAGGTCTTAGCCTCATGACAAAACCAGAGCGCACTGTGAGTGCCCCTTCCCTTTGGGAAGAAAACCCCAATGGATTGCGTGGCAGCCACTGCTGCCACCAGCCCCCAGCCAGCCTGCGCTCCAGGCCCCCCCAGCCTCTGCCTCCCCGCTCCAAGGATCGGCTCGTGAGCAATCCGCCGAGCGATTTGCAAGGCCGGTTACCCGTGATGACAGTGCAAAGGCTGCCCCGCTGGGGAATGACTCACATCCTGGGCATCTCAGGGCAAGGCTGCAACCCTCATCCCATCTGAGGTCCTTCCCATCGCTCAGAGCTGAAAGCAGCACGCTGCCCCTCACCTTCCCAGGGCCTCTCTCCCAGATCAGGCTGCAGAGCTGGGATACGGCCCGGCTGTCTGATCTCTGCAGGGAGGTGCAGAGCAAACCACCCTGCCAGGGACCGCCCAGCCCACAACGGAAACGGCGCTTGGAAATGAGCTTGGAGAAGAAAGATATCTGCCCATTGAATGTCCTTCTCGTGCTCTCTCTCACTGGATGAGACACCTAAAATAATATTTGGATTCACTTGAAAGTACAGCGCATTATGTCCAGGAAAGAGATCTGCACTCGGGAAACACAATTTAATTAAGAAAACAAAAGCGAGGGGGAGTTAAAAGCCCAGCAACACTAGCTGACTAACACTCTTACAGCAGCTTAAGGTAATAACCCCGTGGCTCTGCCTTGTCTTTCAAGCACCCAGTATCACGCTCCAGTTTGCATCTGCTCAGTGAACGAACAGCCCTTTTGACATGTTTTTGCAGCCGTGCTTCCTGAAAACGGCCTGCCTCCAAGTAATTTGCCTGGCATCCCATTGCTGCACACGAGGAATAGGCAGGCTTGCTCTTCCGCCAGCGTTCAGCGTCAGGCTTTTCATAAAGGATGCTCAGCCAGAATGGCTCCTTTCACCAAAACCGCTACTTTGGAAAGTCTCCTGGGAAGGAAATCCCTACTAGAATGCAGTTAGGGCTGGCAACACTCATCTCGGTAGCTACAGAACTACCCTACAAGCAAACACTCCCCGGGTGGGTTTTGAGCCTCCTCCAGCTTCCCGGCCCTGGCGACTGGCTCTAATCAAATCCTCTCCTTCCTGGCAAGCACCGGCATCAAGCCTAAGTTGCCTCTCAGCCCATGCTTTGATAAATGCAACACTTAAGGTATGCTCTTCCGGTCCCAGGGTTCACAGGAGGCATCAGAAATAAACCAGTTCCAGCCCTGAACTGAAACATCCCCTTGAGAGATAGTTATAAGGACCCAGCAGCCCAGATAATGGGGGCAGCCAACAATCTTGGTACCACAGGTCTTATCTTGCATTCAGCTACAATCACATCCTCCCGCCAGACCCTGGCTGAGATCCCATTAACGGTAACCTCCTTTTTATCTGCCATCCCAATGACCTCTGCATTACCTGCAGACTTCACCCTTCCAGGTTTTATCCCATTGCCTTCATCGCCGATAAAACCACTAAGGCATCTCCAGAGGAAGAACAGATCCCAGGGAGACCCTGCCAGAAGTGGTCAAACTGTCCGTTAGCAGCTCTGTTTGTGATTTGTCTGGGGGCCAGGTTTTAATCAGCTCTACGCCCCGTTAGTTCCAGATAACACAAGTTTGGGCTGGTTTGTAATGGAACAAGTGCTGGGAGTGGGTATTTGTAGGCTCGGCTGCTCACAGCCTTCCTCCCTGAGCCTGACCCATCATGTTTTAGAAATGCATGGGCGTTTGCTTTCTGCTCTGGGCTATTTCTCTGCATTTGCCTTCCAATACAGGAGCAAGGCATGGAAGGAGCTGTGTCAATGGCCTGGCCCTCCCGGCAGGTTAAAGAGTGAAAGATTACTCTTCAGACCATTTGGGAGCCAGTGCCACACTGAGACAGTAATCCAGTCCCCAGGTGATCAATGATTAACCCTTTCCTGAGGGAACTTTCTGCAGCCTCCCGCTCCAACGTGGTTTAACTGAGTCAGAACTGCAGCAGTTCTGGTTGTTGGTCAAGACAATGTTTAAGCTAAGAAATGCACTTTGCAATGCCCAGCAACCATGGGAATGGCATAGCTCCTCCCTGCAGCAGGGCCTCTCTCACTGGGCAAAACATATTCAGAAAAAGTCATACAGGAATCTTGAATTTTACTCTCCTCAAGCATTATAGGGGGATTTCCATGTTGGTTCAAGTGTGGGGCATTTTCCACACTCT